TGAAGAACTGGAGATAAATGTTGAGCCAGGGTACTCAGGTCATGCGAACTGATTGTTACAAATTCCAAAAATTTACCTGCATCTTGCTAATGCGCTCTGAAGTGATGCTTTAAAAAGGCCTTTTGATGTTGCGGCAGAAGGAACCAACCTAACAGTCATAACAGCATATTCCTTGATGCAAGTACTGTAAAGCTGAGCTATTAATCTAAGGAATTGTACAAGGCTTTTGACACTAATACCACCATATGTGTATACACAGTGAAGGTTTGATATGGTTTTAAGGGAAGACAGGCCATGAAAACCTTTCTTGCTCTGGAGCCCACACTCCAAATTTAGAGCCTAAATTCCCTTGTGCTTTCACCTGGAAATAATGCACTCTCTATTTGCCAGTAGTTCACTTACATATACCTCTTTCTCAGGTTGCTTACTGCTAGGAATATAATGTAGTTTTCAAATAGGCCAGCGCCAGGAACCTGAACTCTGCAGTCTGGGATAGCTTACCAAAACCCAAATTACTAAATGATATACTACTGGATAAAGACTTGTAAGCATCTGGAAACATTCAAACTCCACAATTAGTGTCCTGAAAGAGAGTTTGTATAACAAACCTCTGTCAGAGCACTGCTTTACTATGTGTCTCGGGAGCCTTGCCTAGAGAGCGTGCATTCCAACATGCCTTATTGCTGTTGGTTGATACTGTCTATATCCCGTTCCCTGGTAAAGCAGAAATGTGTGTGTTTTCAAGCAACTAGCTTGTTTGCAGCTGATCCATGACCTCAAGGTGAATAAGCATCTTTACTTGCCTTTAAGTTCTTAATATACATATCTACCTCTGTCAACTGAAAAATTCATGAAGTCTGGTTCTTCATCCAGACTGGCTAGTTACTGTAGCTTTTCAGTGCTTGATCCTAACTGTAATTCAGATCTGACAGTTTTGGCAGAGTCCGTGTACTGCAGAACGAAGAGGAGGCACAGGGCATCACTCTGCCCCTTTGGTGTGTCTGAAAGCTCTGGGCATCTTTAACAGGTACATGGTGGTATTCATTAAGTAGGGTGTCCATTTGTAAGGCAGGTGTGCAAGTATTCCTGTTAATTCTTTCTATGGCTGGTCACCAAGAAGCTTTTCAAGGTGTGTAAAAACAATCTCAGCCTACTTTTCATGTCTTCAATTTGCATGCAGAAAGCCCATACCTCCAATCTGCTGTCTTAGATATAGTAATATACTTGTACTGTGAGACTTGCACTTATAAAATAGCTGTATAAAATTTTTGTACCATTTACCTCCCTCCCAATTAAATTTGACTCAATAAAAGCATCCCTTCTGTGTTTATATGCCTACCAAGCCACAAAAACAACCCACCAATATGTTCATGTGTTGCTTTCTGCAATAGATGATGGTCAGGAAATTTGGGAGCCTTGTGGGAGAACTCGGTTCCATCTTCCTTTGAATAAAATAAGGCTGTACTCTGTGGTGATGTTTTGAAGAAAGTGTGATTTTTTTTAAATTCTGCAGGGAAATGGCAGGAGGGTGAACTGAGTGACAAATGTGCAGGAAATCAAGGTACTGGAGTTCAAGGTGCTGCATGTGAAGAGCTATGTCATGACACAGACTTAATGGTCAGGGATAAAAGCCTATCCTTTAGATTTAGTTTCAAATAAATGAACGGCAGCACTGGTGAAACGGTAGAATTTTGTGCTTCATAACTTCTAATTTGGGCCTGTTCAATATAGAGCCTCTTAAATGAACCCTTTTCATTTGCCCAGGACATTTGCTGGTCTCCCTTTAGATTAGTTGAGGTTTATGTTGGCATCTAGCTGGACTTTGCTTATTCTCGTCATTCCAGGTTCACTGATCCATCCAATTACTGCATCAGGAGATAGTCTAGAAAGGCTTCCAGGTTGGGTATCATCAATAGAGGTCTGAAGGATTGTTAAGTTTGGTTTTATAAATTACTAATTCTTTATGTAGCTAAATAGTAATAACATTTACTCCATGTCTGTGCTGGGGAAATAAACAAAAGATGCCAAAGCAACTGGAGGGGAGGAGGGAAGGATAATCTTCAAATAGCTGTTCTTATCCTAGCACTTAAGACTTTAATTTTTTAATTTTTTTTTTTTTACTTACCAGATCAGTTTATTCATGGCTGAGGAAGGGCAGTGATACTGGGGAAAAAACAACAACTTTCCTTTGCGAACGTAAAAGGAGCAAACCAACTGATAAAAGTTTTAGATGAATTTGCAGAGAAATAGAGGTGTTGCTCTTTAAAGAGGGTGACTCTGTAATATAGCTAGTATGTACAGCAATACCCTTACAGCTTAACCATCAGTCACTGTTTTGAGAGTTCCCGTCCACAGTAAGATATAGAACAGCTGCCTGTGGAGGTAAATTGCAAGTCTCTGAAGATGGGTGGGTGAAAAACAGACCAGGGCTCAGAAGTGCTGCTGGATGGGAGTCCAGAATCATCCTGGAGGAAAGAGGTCTGCTGGCTTAAGCAAATATTCATGCCATTACACTGGTCAGAGGGTGTGTTGGGACAGATCTGGAAATGGACTTTGGCTATGTGAATTCTTTTGCTCGTGACCAGATCTTATCTGCAGTCAGCAATAAACAAGTCCTTTTTTCATTAGATGTGGCTGTAGTGAAGAAACACAGCCTAGGTGCTGTTCAGCGATTTTGAGCTGATGATCATACGATGGGCTTGGTGAATGTGTGCCCTTCTTCTAGTTATTCTTATTTGAAGACTAGAAGGGAAGTCAGGCTTGTGGTAATTCTCGATGCCTTCATGTCACCCGTAGTAGTTATAGATGAATGTGGGTGACCTCAGTTGAGCACAACAGGGAAGACGGCTGGCTAGCAACGTAGATCAATTTATCAATTAATTGGCTCCTTGGTCAGTTGTACCATGCTATTGAAATAACTGTCCTGCCTTCCCTCTCCCTTACCATATCACTAGTGGCCATGAATGAGTTTGGTCAGGGAACCAATTCTATTACCAACCGGTTCTTTTTTTGAAATTTATCTTCAGTAGTATCCAGCTTGGTAAGTTACTGCAAGGGTGTCGATGCTGGCAAGAGGGACAGTGGTAGGAACATGAAGCTGGAAAAGAGGCTGGGGAGGAGCTGCCCACCTGCCAACAAGCCCCATGCTTATGTTGAGTTAATGACTGATAAATTGTTCTTTTTGCTTCGGTCAGTTGACCTGATAACCTCTGTTTCCTTTCTCTTGAGAAATATATACCTTATTACCAAAGATGTTTGGCTGGGTAAGGCACTGCAGGTGCTTATCATCCAGCAGATCTGACCAAAGCAGAGAGATTATTTTCCTATAAGGACATAAGATGTCCTTATGTCAGGACATCTGGCATAAAACCAAGTTCTTTTTCTTTACCAATGGTGCTCCTGACTCAATTCAGAGATCACCTTCTGTCTGTCTTTCCAGAATCCCTTGTAGGTGTAGAAAGAACAGGGTTCCTTTTCCTCCAAATAAAATCTTTTATATATTAAAAAAAAAAAGGCATATCAGCAATTTCAGCTACATTCATAGCATACAAATCTATGCAGAAATGTATACAGAAATTCATACAAATGTAGCAGAAATATTTTTTTAAATTGACAAATGTTATAAGAATCATGAGTTACCTGCTTAATACTATAGGCTCTCAACAGCTGTTAATGCTGTCTGCTTACTGTCTCCATTCCTTCTTTCCTCTCAGCCTGCAAAGGTAAGAAAAACAGTTTTCCTGACATTCAGAAAGATACTCCCTGTTTCCATCAAAACTGGTCTCTCTTGCTAACATTCCTATGCTAGTAAAGGTGTGAATAGTATTAATGTCCAAAAAGAATACACTTTCAAAGCATGCAATGAAATAAAGGTGACTAGAGAGATTTTGCTTTCTTAAAAACCATCAATTTAGGTTGATTCTGAAAAGGCAAGAGCCATCCGGATGCCTTGGTTCAGGGAAATACCATGCATCAGCTCTGTTTTTTGCATGGTGCAAAGCTGTCTGTCTGTGAGCTTAACCTTTGATCCCTAGTAAGGCCCATACAGCCAGACCGCGCTCATCTGTCCCTCCCAGATAACAAAGTATGAGTGGCTGACTCTATAAATTTTTCTTTTCTGTATATTTATATGATAACTTCCTTTTAAATAACTTCTGTGGAGCAGAGATTGAACTGTTCTGAAGTAGTCTTTGATACTTCATTCACAAGGAAATGTGGGCCTGTATCTATCATTTGCAATGTGTGCTCAGTTTTGTAAAACTTGAGGCATTTTTTGACTAAACAGAAATGCCTTGATAAGAGTGAATGAAATAAGCAATGTAAAATCTGTGCTTGAGTTTCTTGATATTATAGTAGTCCTGGTAACTTCTGTTCAGTATCAACTCTAAAAGCAGACTATGAAATGTCTACAGTGCCAACTGCCAGGCTGTCCATCAGCTGGGGTGGGACAGTGGAGGGAATGACCTTCCCAGGGGGAGACAGCATTGGGACTGAGAAAGGCTGATGAGCTGGAAAGACATACCAATATGAGAAAATAGTAGGACAGCAGAAATAGTGGTGGTTGGAAATAGGCTTTTTCCCTTCCTTATCCAAATTATTTACTACAGTAATTAAGATTGAGTTCCTTCAAAAATGAAAAAATAACTTTGAATGCACTTTTTTCTGAATGAGTTGAACATCAAAAGATGTCCATAAATCCTGTAACTTGGCAAATGGAAGGGAGATTTAAATATCTGTGGGAAAGAGATCAGATGCTCCACTTCATATTTACTCACATTTATATCTTTAAATTACTTTTTATGCAGGTAATTAAAGAGCCTTTTAGGAGAACTAGAAACCAATAATTTGAATATAGCATGTACTTTGAGTTGCTCAACAAAAAGGACCTCAATTTTATTCGAAGATAAATATTATAGCACCTGTGAAAAAAGTTTTCTGCTCTTTATGGCTCTATTTTGATACTGTTTACTAACAGAAATGTTTCTCTATTTTTTTTTAAGACCTATTCAGGGCTGTTCTGCGTAGTTATAAATCCTTACAAGAACCTCCCGATTTATTCAGAAAACATTATCGAGATGTACAGAGGGAAGAAGCGCCATGAAATGCCACCGCACATTTATGCAATATCCGAATCTGCCTATAGATGCATGCTACAAGGTAAGAATTAGTTAAATGTTACTGAACAGTTAGTTGACAAGTCTGTAATATACCTACAACGCAGGAGCTTCATTATCCAGCTATATAGTAATTTCTAACGCGATCAGAATCTTTTCTAGTACTTAAAGGGGGGTGGAAAAAGCTTTCTTATCTAGAACCTTAAACTTTGAGAACAGAAATAACTTGGAGATTGACCCCTCTTGGCATATTTGTCTGACTTACTGAGGCACAGAAGCAAACTAACACCAATAGGAAGCATACTGTGCCAGCTGGTGGCACTGAAAATTGTAGTAGAAATACTTTCTTAAAAAAAGAAGAGCTAAGATTCATGTCAAAAGATGTTAGCACACTGGCTTTGAATGAAGTAAGAATGAAAAAAGTGTGATTGAAAAGGGAAGCTAAAGTATGTTAATGACTTGTCTATCTAATTCTATAAAAATGTTGGCGTTTTGGCAGCTGACAAGTAATCTGAAGTGACAATGAAACAATAATATGTTTGAGTTCGAAAAGAGGTCAGGGAAATGCTTAACCTTGAAGACTTTTTTTTTAAATTTTTTTTTTCTCCAAACTGGTATAGGTCGTGTCTGTAGTAGAATAGAGAGTAAGTTTATGGTGGGCACACGCTTTGAATTTTGGCTTTAAGGCTGTGTTGGACAAATATGAAAACTGTGACTCTGACGTTATATAAATGTGTTGAAATAAACGCATGCTGTTGAACTTGTAAAATTGCCCTTCTGACATAGTATGTTGGAAACACAGCTCATACTATCCAATATTGGTTCATATTTAGGTGGTTGTTTTACTGATCTGGAAACACAAGCATATTGTATCTAGAAAAGTGTGTGTAATGAAGAGGCAGGTTTGAAAAATTTACTGTGTTTTCTGCTATAGATCTGGTATAGATGTACTGGAAGTAAGTTAAAAGCTGTTTGACCTAGTTCACTCACACAAATTAAGAAAACATTGTTTCTGCTACCAGGCTAACCGACCATTTAAATGTTAATCTTTTTTAAAAAGACATTTCCTGTCTTTAAATAAATCACTGTAAGTCTTTGTTTCTTCAGTTGTGCCTTTGTCTTTAGGGCTGCTTAATAATAAACTACAGGTTGCTGGATTGCTGAGTGCTCTTTCACCCCAGAAGAAACTATGCTGTTGCCACTGAGTGGGGTGATGCAGGGGCAAGCAATGGAACAGCAGCAAATTGGGGCCACCAAGAGTTGTCACACTTCTCAATGGATATTTGGGACTCTGTTTTTACGTGTTTTTAGGAAAGAAAAACTATGGCCTCTTGACCAGAACAACAGCCTCTAACAGCACGGATCAGAGATCCCCTAATAATAAGTGTATGTGGAAGAACAGAGCAAACCTTAAGATTCTTTTAAGGAGTTTATTCCTAGCAGTCTCAAGTGGTTTGTGGATAAGAGCTTCCCACTCTAAAAGCACAATATCTTGTCAAATTATCTCAAGAACTTTTCAAAAGTTCTTGAGACAACTGTCCTCTAATAAAGTAAGTCAATGTCAGTAGTTATCGCACTTCAGGTGCTCTATATATTAGTTCACATACCATGCTAGTACTGATTTATATCTCTGGAGATCTTGCTACATGTACAAATTTTACTATTTTTGGAAGATGAAATGAAAAAAACTTTCCCATGATGGTATATGTTTGGTTACAGTCTTGTTTTCTTTCCATACTGATATATGGAGGTTTATATTTTGTATCAAATCTCTGTTTGTGTCTTTCTGTGCTTGCTTTCTTTTTGTTTTTGCCTGAATTCTTTTCACTTGAAAGAATGAAGCCATAGATTGGAATAAGAATAGATGGAAAACTATGCAACAGGATCAATTTATTAGGGAATAACTTCTTCAAGGTTAACTAAATTTGTGTTTCTAGTGCCCTTCACCTGTATGGAGCTACTCCCTGTTTATTTTAGCAAGCGACTGTGATCAGCCAGTAAACTTTACATCAATAGTTTGCCTTCACAGTTGCATTGCCAAGGATAAGTAAAAACTCCTGAACAGACATTAGCAGTTTTGTGCTTGGCAAATATTTTACTAAGCAAACTGTTCTTGCCTGATTGGGTTGGATCAGAGGAAGAGACCTCCAGAAGAAGGAGTGCTGCTTCTGAATTTATGATGGACTCATGAAACTATTTACAGACACTGCTTCCTTTAGGAAGAAGGTGGTATATGGACTTCTTTTGGAGATATGCTTTCCTGAAGTATGAGACTCATTGCTATTTGTATTGGTGATTTTATACAATCACCCTGGCTTTATATAGTCTTGTGAAGCAGTGATCGGTCGTGATGAGAATGACTAGCGAGTATTTATCTAAAGCGGGGTGAGTGAAGAAGTCTGGCACTAATGCTGCTCAGTGCTGGTCCCTCTAGATGGGACCTGATGCAGAGAGACAAAGAGGCACTTCAGGGAACTGAATTTAAGTCTCCATATAAATAAAACTTGCAGTTACAACAACTAGGGTTTTCTAGTCATTAGGACATCAAATAATACTTGTCTTAACAGTAGGAGATTATTACAATATTCAACTTTCTGGTTATCAGTGGCAGCACAAGGTCAATTACTGAGTGTGCTTAGAATTTGGTAGGGAGAGCTAGGTTTTTCTCTGCCAGCCAAGGATTTAACATCATGCACAAAGTGTCCTTAATCTTCTAACTATGCCTTATGTTTTGCTAGACTCTCAGTCTTAAACCAATGAAACAGAAAATGTATCAGAAACTTTTGACTGGTAGAAATAGGTCTCTAACCAAGAACCAGCTGTTTTAATCACAGTGCTTCAGATTAAGTCATCAGAGGTCTTTGCTACCATTTATTTGCAGCATAATCCTTGACCAAGATGCTTTTGCTGTTAAGTTACTAACACATAGTTACAACTATAAAACTGTTCTTCTGTAGTTCACGTCCACGTTTGTGCACGTAGTTGCTTTGGGAGAAAGAGATAGGATGGTAGAGAGAGTGGGGTAGGGGAGATTAGTTTTTCCAGTATTACTGCAAGTCCTGCTATTGCTACTATAGCATATCCATAGGTTTCATTTGATATGAATGACTTCTGTGTTTCCAGTATTTGACATCTAGAGTTTAATTACTAGGGTTCAAACCTGAAATTGAAACCGTAGGAATGCAATTCCTTTGGATAATATGACCATACCCTTATAGAAATATCTTAGCCACTAATTTAGGTCAATGAAAGTGGTTGGCTGTATTTTTCTGGTCTGTTCAGTGCTATTTTCTTCAGTATGATCATGTTTACTTTCCTTGTAGCTAATCACAAACTACTAATTTTCTAGGTGTTTGAGAGATGTGTTTACACTGATTAACAGGATACCTGGACCCAAGCTGTGACTCTGAACAACCTGATTTCTTAAAAGGCAGTTTTTCTGTGCTGGTAAATGGGTACAGGGAGTAACCTGTTACTCAGTATCTTGATGCTTTCATGCCTTTAATTCAGAGCATGGATGACTAGTGATCAAGTTTCTGCTAATCTGAAGTTTTGTATGTTTAAAATAATATTTATGCTTAAACAACAAAACATAGATTTGTGTTTTAGATTATGAAAGCAAAAGGTTTTTGGTCGGCAGAAACAACTGACGCATGTGCATCTCAATAGTTATTCCTTGTCTTAAATGTTGCTGGAAATACTCCATTTTGTTAAACTGGTGATATAAATGGAGTGCTGTACTTCACAGTGCTCTCTGCTAGGAAAAGGTTGTATGGAAGCATTGCTAACTGCCAGTCATCAAACTGCTTCTCTATTCTTGTCCCCTTGAAGAATTTCCTGTTTAGGAGGACCTTCAGCCCTGCAGTCTTCACAGGTCAGCTCTCATCGTGCCCTTTAGTGGGGAGGAGAATGGGCTGAAAATCTATTTCAGTGCTTGTTAAACATGGAGGACAAAGGGGCGGGGGGGGGAAGAGCGGTAAAAGAGAGAGTATGTTCAAGAAGCCCAGTTTGCCATTTTGGAGAGGGAATAGTATTCTCCAGGGACGTGTATTGAATTGGTGTAAGCTGTCACAAGAAAGAGGGAGGTGCAGAATTGTTTTTAAGGGCCGAGTGTTGCAGATGAACAGTTCAGTGGTGGTGCAGCCGTGAGGCATTAAGGATTTGAGGCATGTTTTGCAAGGAAAAGCAAACCTCATTGATTGCTTGATCTTGTAAGTGTTGCCTTGTCTGCAAGACTTGTAGTAAAGATCGAGTGTGAACACAGTCTTGTTAAAAACAAGCAAGACTTTGGGTGCGTTCTGGTTATGACAGTCAGGATTTCTCTTCAGGAAAAGGCTCATTACCTAGTGCATTGACCTCAGAAGATAATAACATGCAATTCAGCTTTACATCCTGGATTTCTCCTCTCTCTCCCCTAGTAATTATTTTTCAAAGTAGTGTGGAAGTAGGGTAAGTGTTACTTCACAGGTGGTTTAGTGGATTTCTCCTGTGCTTTCTCTTCATTTTCCTAATGTTATGTTGAAGCAGGAAGTACACATAACCCAGAGGCTTCTAGGCATATTGAAATTGTTTAGCCCTAGACAGAAATCAAGTGCAGAAATGCATAGGGTTGGAGTCAGCGTGCTTCACAAAAGACTGAGCTTTTCACGGCTGCTGGACAGTTGACATGGTCATAAGCAACTGGTATCCTAATCCCTGTGACAACATTGACCTTAATTCTGTTTGGTAATACAATTTGCAAGACTTGCTAGTGTTCTTCTGTATTGCTAAAAGTTATAGGCAGTAAGAAGAAAACGTTTTGACAGGGACTAGGATTTTATTTAAGAAAACTAATTCTATAAGTCATTCTATAAGTTCATCTATGACTGTCTTTATTTTACTAGCAAGGAAGATTTGATTGTGTGAAAGCAGCACTGACATAAATTCTTCTTTAGTGCTTTTACCATACTTGGATTTCTCTTCTCCCTCCTCCCTTCCTATTCTCCCACTGTATTTCTAGAGGAAGTATGGCATTGTTTTATTATGCCTCTTTATTCATTGACT